TCAAAATGAACAATAAAAAGAACTGGGGATGTAACAGTGGTGAAGTACCCTTGGATTCAATCCCCAGTACCAAAAAAAAAACTTTTTTAAAGATTGAGGAAAGGCAGGATACAAATACCTGTTGTATGCCAATATTCCCAGCTAGCTCCTAGATTTGGATTTTGATCATTCTTTTAAAATGTACTTGTAGGGCTGGGTTTGTAGCTAAGTGGTAGAGCACCTGCCTAGCATTTGTGAGGCACTGGACTCAATCCTCAGCACCACATAAAAAAATAAAAAAATAAAAATAAGGTTTAAAAGGCTGGGGTTGTGGCTCAGTGGTAGAGCGAGTGCTTGCCTAGCATGTGCAAGGCCCTGGGTTTGATCCTCAGCACCACATAAAAATAAATAAATAAATAAAATAAAGATGTTGTGTCCAACTACAACTAAAAAATAAATATTTTTTTTAAAAAATAAGGTTTTAATAAAACAAATGTACATGCACAGTGTGAGCAGGGAGACAGAAATTATCCCAAGTGTGAATTCCTCTCAGCCTCTGAAGAGGGATCTGGAACTCTGCTGTTTCTTCAAACCAGCCACGTTTCAGAATGTGGTCAGAACTCAAGCTAATGTGTACAGCTTTCTGTATCTTTTTGTTCTTTAAGTTCTTAGCATTGGTAAATGAGTAGATATTGGAGACTTTATAGAAAAGCTGCTATTCACGATTTTTGTGTATAGAGCTGACTATAGTATATTATCATTGTCTGTTTCAAAAAAGGAAAAATTGGGGGACTAGAGTTGTGGCTCAATGGTAGAGTGCTTGCCTAGCACATGTGAGGCACTTGGTTAAATCTTCAGCACCACATAAAAATAAATAAATAAAATAAAGGTATTATGTCCATCTCCAACTAAAAAAATTAATTAAAAAAAGAAAAGTTGTAATTTATATTTCCTTTCAACCTTATTGTATTTAATTGGCACAGATTTGTTGTATATGTTTTAGAATACAAACCAATTGGGGCTGGGAATATAGCTCAGTTGGTAGAGTGCTTACCTAGCATGCACAAGGCGCTGGGTTCAATCCCCACCAACATCCAAAAAAAGAAAACAAACGAATTGAGGAAAAACAAAAATTCAAGCTAATTAATCTAAACAGTGATTTGAGTGGCCAGGACCTTTTGAAGGTCCACTAACACAATAGGCTATGACTTTTCCAGGAGTTAAGCTAGAATAGTTCTAAGTCCTTTGTCCTGAGACTAAGGAAAGGGGATGTTTTCCAGGAGTTCTGTGGGTGCAGATTTTCCTGAAGGTAGTGCGTGATTGACAGATTAAGGCTCTGTTTTACAGCACACTGCAGCAGTGGTGAGCGCCAAGAGCTACATGTGTCCCGTCTGTGGACGGGCCCTTAGCTCCCCAGGGTCACTGGGTCGCCACCTCCTAATCCACTCGGAGGACCAACGATCTAACTGTGCTGTGTGTGGAGCCCGTTTCACCAGCCATGCCACTTTTAACAGGTTAGTTGGGCACCTAACCTTGTTGTGCTGGGAGGAAGTTACTGGGTATGGGTTCTACTTTTCCAAGTCAAAACAAAGGCTAGAGATAGGTAATGCAAAAGTGACTGACACATGACATTATGTATTAGATGACCTCAAAGGGAAATGAATTCCAATCCCCCCCACCCCCCACCCCCATCTTTTCAACTAGAAAGAGATGTAATGAAGTGCAGGAACACTAATGCTAACTTGTGGAGAAAGGGTTTCAGGATGCTGAATAGAGTCTCGTGTGAGGACATAGTCTCCACTGGGTCCTAGGAAGACTGGAACTCTGAACACCCTGTCTTCATCCTGTTTGCCTGGTATACAAGACAGAGGCTGCCTTTCTTGCAGGCAGTGCCAAGTGGGAGCTAGTGAGACAGTGGAATGACTGTACCCTGCCATAAAGGAAGCCTCCACCTCCAGGCCCCTTCATTCACACGGTAGGCTTGATCCTGCACAGCTCTTCCCAAACACTGGTATTCCAGCTCCACTTGTAAGGATTCCTTTACTTCTGCTGGGTTGCTGTGGCAGGTGGTTTAATCTCCAATTTCTGGTGGGCTTTAAGACTTGGGAGATGCCCTAGCCCAAAGAGAAGTGGTCTCTTAACCATTCAAACTAACCTCCAGAATTGAACCTGGAGAAACTGGCCTGGAAGGAAAAAAGTAAGTTAGAGATAGATATCTGAACCTTGCTAAAAAGAAACATTAATCATCCAAAATTTTTACTTTCTAGCGAGAAACTTCCTGAAGTACTTAATATGGAATCCCTACCCCCAGCCCACAGTGAGGGCCCCTCCAGTACTGAGGGGAAGGACATTACCTTTAGCCCTCCAGTGTACCCTGCTGGAATTCTGCTTGTGTGCAACAACTGTGCTGCCTACCGGAAGCTACTGGAAGCCCAGACCCCCAGTGTACGCAAGTGGGCCCTACGGCGACAGAATGAGCCTTTGGAAGTACGGCTGCAGCGGCTAGAACGGGAGCGCACAGCCAAAAAGAGTCGGCGCGACAATGAAACCCCAGAGGAGCGGGAGGTGAGGCGCATGAGGGACCGCGAAGCCAAGCGCCTACAGCGCATGCAGGAGACAGATGAGCAGCGGGCACGCAGGCTGCAGCGAGATCGGGAGGCCATGAGGCTGAAAAGGGCCAATGAAACACCAGAAAAGCGGCAGGCCCGGCTCATCCGAGAGCGGGAGGCTAAGCGACTCAAGAGGAGACTAGAGAAAATGGACATGATGTTGAGAGCTCAGTTTGGCCAGGACCCTTCCGCCATGGCAGCCTTAGCAGCTGAAATGAACTTCTTCCAGCTGCCTGTGAGTGGGGTGGAATTGGACAGCCAGCTTCTGGGCAAGATGGCCTTTGAAGAGCAGAATAGCAGCTCTCTGCACTGAACCACACCCTCCTGCCTGCCCTCCAATCCACCTAAGCCCACAGGGGTCAGTGCTACAGCTACCTACAAAGCCAGCTTTGCTTTCAGATGCAGGCCCTGGTTTGTTGTAGGAGGATCTGTGCACCCCTTGCATGTGGGAACAGGATGCTGGGGTCAGGAGGGACCCACCTCAAGGCAGCTCTACACAAGGGAGCAGGCACTCCAGAGAACTTGACTCCCCCAGCCCATTGCAGCAGGCTGGGCTTATGGGACTTAGGGGCCCAGTGCAACCCATGAAGTTGTGAGGGCAAATAAATTAATTTTATCTTTACTGGTTCTTTCCTGCTTTTGTCTGTTTCATTCTAGCCAGTGAAGTGAGGTGGGAAAGAGCTGGGTGGGAGTTCTCAGGCAGTGACTTCTCGTGGCTTGCTAGCAGGGTGCTCTTCAACCTGGGCTACCTAAGGAGAGTTCTCCGAGTTGATGAGAATATGGCACTGAAGAAAGACCCACTGCTGCCTTTGTGAAAATTCATTCCCACAGCCATAATGAAGATAACTATAGTCCCAAGGGCTATTTAAACTTAACTTGCCTTTCCAAATTCAAAATTAGTAGAAGCCTTTCCTCGCAATTGGCATTTTCTAAAGATTATGCAGTACTTTTCTCGGTAATGTAGTTTGTTACACTTAAAAGTTCTCAAACAGCCATCAACTGCATCTAGGAATATGTTCATGGTAGTGGTTGCAACATTAAGGTCCATAGCACCACAGAACTCGTTTTGAGAGTACAGGTAATCCATCTTTTTATTTATTTCTCAGTCAAGGTAGGCATAAAATCTATTGAGGAAAAACCAGAATTAAGATGATAGAAGAGTTCAAGTCAACAGTGGCAAAGATTAGAGCAGAATGACTACTCTGGCAATTTGTGTGGTTGCCAAGCCATGGAAGAGACAAGTGCTGAGGTCATTTCTAAAGTTTCTGTGATGGTACAGAACAAGCACAGAACTTTCCTTAGTCTGCACCAAAGGTTGTGTACAGTTTAGATAATTATAGATCTGGAGGTCCAGAAGGAAGTGCCCTAGTTAATTTGTAGCCAGAAAAATAACTATGCCAGGAATGTGGACCTCTTCCAATATCAAAACAGGGAAACTTAAACTCCTTTCTGACCTCCACAGGTCCAAGGCTAGTTAATAGTATTAAATGACTGCCCACCAAACTAGAATTCATTCACACCAGGCATGAAATATTTGTCTTGAAAATTACATTTAAAAAAAAGTAAGTACTTAATCAATCCAAATGCCTTTCTCTCATAGAGCTCCATGCTGAGGTTCTACTTGGGATGTTTCAAAATGGTTGCACATTCACTATGTGCCAAGGATTACTTTGAGCACTTAAATGGATCATCACATTTAATTTTCAAAACACTCAGTTAATACAAACTCAAAGAGTTAGATGCCTGGGTTCAGAACTGCTCTGTAAGGCTGGAAAGGTAGCTCAGAGGTAGAGTGCTTACCTAGCATGTGGGAGGTTATAGGTTAATCCCCAGCACTGCAAAAATCAAAACTAAGAAACAAAAGGCTGCTCTGACTTTTATTAGCTGTGTAACTTTGAACAGTTAGTTACTTAACCCCAATGTCTTGGTTCCCCCAGCCACAAAATAGAAATAATAGCCGTAAATGATTGTTAATATCAAGTACTTAGGATAGTTTGTGGCACACAGTAAGTGTTCAATAAATGAATATGAATGTTTTATCACTCACTGGTGGCCACCTTTCTAAGTTAGAAGTAGCTATGATGGGGATGACTTACTCTCATAATTTCTGGCAGTATTCCTGAGTAAGGAAAAAGAATAGAAGGGAAGTCCAGCAGTGAGGATACCTACAGGTTCTTGTGACTGGTGCTGATGGTAAGTCTATTGTAGGCCTCTGAGCTCTGAAATTCACGCCAAAAGACAGCAGACCATGCTTTAGAGGTAGCCTCTACCATTTGCCTAAAGCTCACAACAAGATAGGCACCACTTATGTTCCATTCCAAGTATTCCCACAAAGCATTTCAACCCCACTCCCCCATCCCCAGGGGCCACCATCTAAGCTGGGATAGGAAGAAGGCGCAAACACCAAAAGGAAAAGCTAGTAGTTTATATAGATAGATATATAGATATATAGATATTGATATATATTGTTTACATAGTCCACAAGTTAAATGCAGGTATCCATAAGAAGAGCATTAACAATAAAAATACAATCTGTGTGTAGCCAAGTACAGAGACTTAAAATGGTAAAACAGCAAAAAGGATCTCACAAAAGTACAAATATACAGTACAAATTGATTTATTTAAAACAGTTACAAAAAAGCACAACAAAATAGAGATTATCCTTAGAATTATTAATGCTTTGTTAAAGATCAGGTAGGATTAGAGGGTAAGAAATGGTATTGGGCTGGGGGAGCACCTGACTAGTTCTAAGGCTTTAGATACAATGCAGTTGATTACATATTAATTCAGCCATTACATACTGGGGATAGTAGTTGGGGGATCAGTAATTTATCTACAGGGAACTCCTACACAAATCAGATCCATCCAGACCTCCCCAGTGCCGTTCTTATCTATTCCTTAGGACCCTAAAGCCACCAGAATGACAAAATTCCCATCCTTTCTCCACCCCATTCCCTATCCATGTATTCTTCCCTCCCCTAAGGTGCTGTGCAAGCTGAGAGCAGACTGCTCTCTGTAGCTGGAACATATACTGTTTTGGCTACAGGGATCCTGGGTGACAAGGAAGTTTGTAGGGGACAATCTTGTTTTAATACTTAAAGTTAGCCATGAGTACAGTCAGTCTCTTCCCCAACACAATCTAGATTATTTTGAATGCAAGTATGAAGCAAGTGAGGGATCAACCCTGCCTTCAGCAATATCAGCAGCTCACTAACCCTCACAGCTTGTAACTACATGCAAACTCCCTGTTTGGGGGTGGGTGTAAAACCACTGTCATCAGCTCTCTTGCTCTCTCTCTCTCTGAAGAACCTAAGTCCCCATGACAGTCAAAGACAGAATAAATGCTTGCAAGTTTGACAACAGGTAAAGGCACATGGGCTGCTGCCACATACACTGCAGACAGGAACCCAATTTGGGGCCATCTTTACTGCTGAGTATTTGCAGTGGAATGGCTTTGGGATTACACAGACTTTGAATTTGGAATCTACTAGGGGAGGATCTAGGCTTAATAGAACTAATAAAACTTTAGTGTGAAAAGTGCATTTATTACTACTGTTCCTGCTGGGGAGGTTCAGCAGGGCAAACTGCACCACCTTTCCTCCTTCTGCCCCAGGCACTGTGCATAGTCTGCAGGTAAGGAGAATGCAGCTGACTCTAGCATCAAGGGCCAGGCTTCTGGTCCAAAGATGGATCCTAGAGTTGAAAGAGCAACAGATAGCTGCAAAGATCCAGACGCTGATTTTATTATTGCATAATGTGGGAGACCTTTCCTACCCCAGGGAAGCTGGAGTATGAAGGGTTCCCAGCAAAGGGCTAATAGGCTCCTGATCAACATCCAATCTAGTAGGGTTCAGTTCTTCAACTGTAGTGTACACTTTTTCCCATCTGGAAAAGTATTGTAGCTTCAGTGTGGTTTAGTAAACTTAGCCCTAGGAGGTCAAGACATCTCCCTAAAACTTGGCCTCTGTCCTACTTACTTTTCTTCTAAGACTGTGGCCTAATCTCCCATGGCCAATTCAGTTAATCCGGTTATCTTTACTCCAATGGACCTGGGTCCTTTCCCAGTCACACCATGTCCACATTCAACTCCAGTGTGATCACTCAACCCTTAAACATGCGTGCTTGTTGCAGGTCTAGATCATACTACCATCCTGTGCTTCCCCTAAATTGCCTCTGATGCCCACTGGTAGAAATAAAACTAAACTCCAAATGGCGGGGCTACTTCATCCAAATCTCCAACCCTTTCCCAGCCCCAGAATCCACATAACTGGAGCTAGATGAACCTTGCTGGGATGCTGGCGCAGCCCCTGATGTGGTTCCCCTTCACTCGGTTTTGAAAACAGGATACAAAATACCACAAAGGAAAGAATTAATACAACAGAAAACACTCACTAGCAGGACCTGCTTGTTTCTCCCTCAAGACAGGCAGATCTTGGAGCCAAGGGGCTCCTGACAGCACTGAAGCATATCCCTTTGGATTCACCAGCCCACCAGCAGCATTTCATATAATCCCTATTCAACATGACTGTGCTATATAACACTGGCAGAACAAAGTTAAGAATGGAGAGGATGCCTGGATTTAATCTATATGGCTGAAGACATGGGGAGCTACAGAAGGCAGCAGGCAGGAAAGTGAGCAGGCAGCAGTAGCGGCAAAGCAGCACATAGCAAACTCCATGGTGTTATGACCAACTGGGACCAAGAGGGCAGAAGGGTCAGTCCAGATCTGCAGGGGCCCCTCCCCTTGTACAAGTACTCAGTCTGAACTCCCAGGCCCTCTCCCCAAAGAGTACTAATTCTGATAGGGCTGATGATCTAAGACTTAGATTATTACATTTTATCAGGTTCCCCTTCTGCCAAACTGGTATGTAGGTATTTCTGTACAGTGCCAGGGAGTTAACCATCCTCCTTCCTATCCCTAAACTCTGGGAATGCCCTACCACTTACTAAGGACTGGCTGGTCTCTGTCAACTGCTCATTCCCAAAGAGTCAACAACTTTCCACTAAAATGTTCTAAAACCCATTTTCCATGTTTCTTGCAAATTTAGGCAATTCCTATAAAGAAGAACACACACACCATAGGTTATTCTTATTTCTCATGCCTGGAAAGACTGAACCAGAGGGAAGATGCAAGGGGCAACGCCACAGCTCTGACCAAATGATTTAGAGCAGAGCTTCTTTTCCTGGGGGACCATACTTTATGCAAGATACCTCCGTAGTGCAGCAAAATCAAGTATTAACAAATTAAATGCATGGCACGATTATTAGGGAAGCTGCTGATACTACTTCACAGCAAGAGACAGAATCACAGCAGAAAGTCAGGGTCCAACATGCCAAAGTCCCAACGATTTTTCTTTCCAGAATTCAGTGGAAGTTACCAGACTGAGAAGTCACAACTAGCCTGAATGCAGAGTGTTTTGACTTAACTTCTTGGCCTGTATGTAGTTAGATCTAGGTTTCCTCCTTAAAGGACGAAGCTCAGTTGGTACCCATGGTGGACGTTTCTTGAGCATCTGTTGTGTGCATGTCACTATTTTCAGTTGATGAGCCTTCCTATGAGGAAGGATGTTTATGAAAAACACATGCATACAATAATCTCTAGGAATGAGTTGCTCATGAAACAGCCAGAGATGAGGCCTTCTCCTAAGGCTCTCATCTGACAGGATTCTTGAAGACTCAACCCCACAGGCCCCCACTGTAGGAAACAAGCCAGAAAAAGCAGCATTCTGAGAGAATGGGGGACAGAGAAAGGAAAGGACATGATCTCAAATGCAGTACAAGGTTGGTGTTTGGTTCTGATATGAACCAAAGTACTTGTGGTCAGGTCAGCACCCCTTTGGATGGACCCCCAAAAGCTCACTGACCAGGTAACTGCTCCCAAGGAATGAAACAGTGGAGTATAGGGCTTGTAGTAAACAAGCCAGTCTCAATTACTCTGTTCCCCCAGGAGAACAACCTTTAGCACCTGAACACTAAGAATGACTCCATTCTCAGAACTTTCCCTCCCCCCCAGGAGGTAGGTAAGATTATTTATCCCCATTTGGCAGCTGGGGAGGAAGTGAAAGAGCAAGAGGTCATAAGACTTGCCTAAAGCTTCTGACAGAACAGAGCTCAGACCTCAAAAGTTTGGGACTCCTGATGACAGGCCAGGCCTTGGCCAGTCCAGGTACATGTATAAAGGAAATGCCAGGATCACACCCTGGGAGAACTCTAGTTAGAGAGCTGGGTGGACAATACCCTGAGTTGCCTTCAAGAGTCTAAAGACCCCCAAAAAACAAACAAAAAGATCACTCACCCCACCTGAAAGTTGGTAGGGGAGCCTAAATCCCATTACCCAGTGGAATCCCACAGTCTAAGCTGATGCTAAAAGTTGTGTGGGGCGGGGGGGGGGGGAGTGGGCTTAAGACACAGGGAAGCAAATGCAACTATGAAAATATTCCTTGCAGAGGAATACACTACCACAAAATAAAACATACTTCAGGTAATAAAATGTTACTGAGACTACCCTAGACTCTTAGAGCTGGCAGTGGGAGGTGACGGCCTGGAGATGAGTGAATGCTAGGAGAGGCAGTGGGAAAAGATAGGAGGGGGCCATGTAAAAATATCAGAATGGGAATTGCCCAGCCAGGCACCTTTGCCCTGGCCCAAGGCATGGTTCCCACTACACTGTCTGGCAGTGGGAGAGGAAGGGACATGATTTTGAGTTTTTAAAAACAAAGATTATAGCTCATAGGGAAACCAGAGACCCCTACACACCAAAAACTAGAGGTTTTGTTAGACTGGACAAAGCCAATTTTGCAGAAGAGGAAAGGCAATGCAGCTACAAATGAGGTCCAGGTCAAGACACCATGCAGAGATTAGGGCAGCAAAAAGGTGGGGTCAGCGCAGGCACTTAGGCACAACATAGACAACAGAGGGGTGCCTGGGGAAAAGGGTTCACTGGTTCTTCCCAAAGTTACCAATACCAACTAGAGACTCAATGAAATCTCAAAGCAGGTCTGGATATTGAATAAGGGGTGCTTTGTTAAGTCAGCTACCTTTCCAGAAGCCCTGCCTAGAGCTGCATCATCTGGTTGTCAGGTCCTTCTCCTGAAGTTCCCCGGGTGGGTTGTGGCAAGGCAGTACTTTACTCCAAACCCTGTAGGGTCCTCTCTCCCCTGGCCCCTAAGCTGCTAGAAGCCTCGTAGGAGGGATGGTGAGGAGACATGGGAAAAGGGCTGAAGCAGAGGATCAAGCAGAGTCCTGTAGATGAGAGTGTTCCTCCCCCACAAACCCAGCCATAGACATCTGTAACAAAATCACCCTTTAAAGTGCACATCTCTCACAAGAAGGGTTCTGGGTGGGAACCCTCTTATTTCCAACCATGGGGCCTCCTGCCCTCCCACTAAAAAAGAAAAAAAAAAAAAAACTTCAGACAGTTTTACTGCTACTATAAGCTGTGGATCATCATTTTTGGCTCTTTCTTTGCTCCCTCCCTCTGCCACCTGCTCCCAAAGCCTGTACTTTCCCTTGCAGGAGCTAGGAGTGGGGAGAAAAGAACAGGGAGGCCCTGATTTTGGAATGTTTCTTATCCTGTGTGCACCCCCTTCCTTCCTTGCCCCAGGCCTGCTGCTCCCCATCATAGTACCCCCTGGGGCTATCCTGAAAGAATGCCAAGGGGTAATGAGCAGCAGATCCTGCCTCTGGAGGCTGCCTTCACACTTCCCCTTACCCCCAAAATCTCACTGCCAAGAGAGCCATTCCCTGCTCGGCATGTGCAAATCCTCTGGCTGCTCACCGTGAGGTTCACCTCTGGGGTTAAAGTCCCAGTCCTGGTCTGGGAAAGAGGTTCATTTTCCTGCATTGGAACGCCCTTCGATGGACAGCTTTACCTCCTGTGGAATAAAAGAGGGACGGAGCAGAGCAGCCCGTGCCTCCTCCCCTTGCATGCTGTATCTTTGGAAGTTCGGGGCTGGCCAGCAGGTCTGAGCACCAGGCTCAGACTGGGAGGGCTCTACTGCATGGGAGCCCTCTCCTGTAGGCTGGTTCTTCCCCTCACTATCACATAGGTCTCTGGGTCCCAAGACTGTCCTCTCAGGCCTTTCTTGGGGTGGACCCAGCTGGCCTGGGGGAGCACAGCTGGCCTGAGAAATTGAGTTACTGTTCAAGCTCTGTAAACTGATAGAGATGCAGACATCTCCCACCTGTAGCCGATGACAGGGCAAAGAGAAGAGTTGTGCAGTCCGCCCAGGGCTGCAGGAGGACCAACCCTGGCCATACACAAAGAAGGGGTGTTCAGGGGGCACCTCGATGCTCACTTTGCTCTGCTGCTCGCCAACCACAAAATGTAGCATGACAAATCCAGGCCATTGGCTCTCCTGAATGTCCACGACCGTGCTAGAGTCAATCTTCAGCCCCCCACTCACTTCGGCACTGCGCACAAAATCTTGGGTCTGGAGGTCCTCCACCCGCTTCAGCTCCCCTGTAGCCAGCTGGATGATGGCGCCTTTCATGAAATGGGAGGGCAAGTGGGAGGAGGTAATAGGGGGTGGCGTTGGCTCCTTGTCTGGGAAGGTGGCTCTGGTCTGCACGTCCAGACTTGATGCCACCAGGATCTCCGAGCCCACAGGCAGCAGGCCTGGGTCAGTTCCAGTGGGCACCAGGTTGCCATTGGCTACAACCATTGCTTTGGGTAAAGGTCTATGTTTCACCGGTTCCTGATGGGACTGAGGGTAGAACCCACGGGACTGGTTTTTCTCTGCCAGCTCTGCAGGGTTCCTGGCTGACCCTCGTCCTTCAGCCTGATGGTCGGGGGTATGATGGGACAGGTTGAGGGGGCTGGGTTCATCCTTCCTCTGAGCTGCCACCACACGATAGTCCTGAGAAGCTAAAGCGCCAACCACCCGCTGGACTTCGAGGTCCGTGTCTGGGGTCCCTCGGTGTGCCGGCACTGCCACCTCCACCCGCGGAGTCTGAGAACCTGAAAACAACTGTCCATCCACCACACATTCCACCACTGGCACCAATCCTTGGCCTTCACCCTTACTGCTGGGAGAGTCAAGGGCTTCACTTTCCCGTCTTACTAAATTTCGCTCTCGCTGTCTCTGTCCTCCATTGGCAGCAGCTGCTTCCAGAGCAGACTGGCCCTCCTGAGGGGTAAGAACTGGGCTCGTGCCTGCTGGAGGGTTTTCATGCAAGGGATAGCCAGCAGGTAGTCTAGACATCTGGTAATAAATGGGCATCCGTCCTGGAGCGAGGTCCAGTGGCTGAGTACTCGAGTGATGTGGCAATTGCCCAGACGGAGAGGTTGCAGAGGGGGCTTTGTTAAACGAGTGGGCCGGGGATGAAGCCTGTGGGGGAGGGGTGGCTTCTTCTGCCAGGAGTGAGGCATATGGCACAAAGTGTGGAAGGTGAGAGGTGGTGAGACTGGCAGAAGGAGAAAGGAGGGGACTCGGTAGGAAATTAGGTGGCACAGCATAGGGAAGGCTATAAGGAGACCCGATAAACTGCAGTGAGGTGGATGGGAGCTGAGCATAGTGGATTGGGGGATAGTGGATTCCTGGATGCTGAATCAGTGAAGACGCTACATTAAACGTGGGGGGCAAGGGGCTCATGTTCACCACTGATGGGAGGCCAGTCGGTGAGAAGGTGGCAGGTGGCACAGCCACCTTATACAGCATGCCATACTGGTCCACCGTCAGACCAGTAATGGCCTCAGCTCCATCACCCCCCAGGCTGACTCTGGCTCCAGCCTGGCTCTGCCCAGCCACCACAACCCCTCGGGACCATTCAGAAGCATCACTAGAGGGTGTGTGGTTTGTGGAGCAGCTGGTCGTTCTCCCCATATCCTCGCTGGTCACGGGGAGGTCTCGTTTCTTTGGTGGAAGGCATTCCTGACTCCTCTCATGAACAGGTTTCATATTGCTTTGTGGTGTTCCTGGAGTCTGGAAGGGGTTGGCTTGCTCCTTGGGGCATCAGAAGTGGCTTCTCTGTAGCTTCCCTGCACCCCTCTCTGCTGCTGGCTGGGGTGCCCACATCTGCTAGGGAACAAATCAGAGGCAAAAAAAGTAACCTATGGAACCAGTTCAAGGTAAATTGCAAAAACTGTGTCCAGGGAGGAAGATGTAACAAAGGGGACTGGTGGAAAAAAAGGAGGTATTACAAAAAGAACAGACAAGGAGGCTATCTCCCCACTCATCAGCTTAGGACAAAAAAGAAACAATCAGGGAAACCACAAAGCACAAACAGCTACAAGGACTAGCATTCAATGATACATAAATAACCTGAGGGCTCCATAACCTTAGAGACCAAGAGCTTCAGGATTAGTCTAGTCTCCCAAGAGGACCTTGACCCTTCTCAGTTTTCTCCCTTAAGGGGGATTTAAAAACAAAGTCTTTACAGCTGGCTTTTTTCCCTAAGTTTCTCCTTTTGCTACCAAAGACTAATGTGCCATCTTCTTTCCTTGAATATATGACCTCATCCTTGCTTCCTTTCTCCAGACTAATTTGGGTTATGATCTCACCTACCTACTCCCATCTCTTCCACTCAAGCCTGGCTGAATTCCTGTCCTCCTTTACCTCATATCACCAGTGCTTCAATAAGACCTGAGGTTTGCCTGTGTTTTTTTTTTCTTTTCTTTTTTTAAAATAATCTGTGCTCCCTGAACATGATAAGAAATATAGTACCTTTTTTTTTTTTTTTTTTTTTTT